ACTCAGAAAAGCCTTGGAGAATGCAAAACCTGGCTTAACTCCTTTGCACCTGGGCTTAGTGCAAACTCAGTGACATTAATAGGAATTCTGCATTACAAGCAGGATAAAAAAAATAGTATTAAGTTTCCTAGTGCCACATCCTAAAAGTGTAACGAAAAAAATTTCTGGACCAAAAAAAAAAAATGTACAGCCAAACTAGCAGATATTTTAGGCACAGTGAAAGACCACACTATCATAAAAAATATGACAGTTTATTAAAAATGTTCACAAAAAGGATTTTTTTTTTAGAATTACAAAACCCTCTAACACAGTGGTTCTCAACCTTTCTAATGCCGCGACCCCTTAATACAGTTCCTCATGTTGTGGTGACCCCCAATCATAAAATTATTTTCGTTTGCTACTTCATAACTGTAATTTTGCAGTGGGAGGAATAGTGTCCCATCGTTGGTGTCAGTGGGGGGGGGGGGGGGAATAGTGCCCCATCGTTGGTGTCAGTGGGGGGGGGGGGGGGAATAGTGCCCCATCGTTGGTGTCAGTGGGGGGGGGGGGGGGAGGAATAGTGCCCCATCGTTGGTGTCAGTGGGGGGGGGGGGGAGGAATAGTGCCCCATCGTTGGTGTCAGTGGGGGGGGGGGGGGGGGAGGAATAGTGCCCCATCGTTGGTGTCAGTGGGGGGGGGGGGGGGGGGGGGAATAGTGCCCCATCGTTGGTGTCATGTGGGGGGGGGGGGGGGTGGGGGGGGGGGGGGGGGGAGGAATAGTGCCCCATCGTTGGTGTCAGTGGTGGGGGGGGGGGGGGGGAGGAATAGTGCCCCATCGTTGGTGTCAGTGTGGGGGGGGGGGGAGGAATAGTGCCCCATCGTTGGTGTCAGTGTGGGGGGGGAGGAATAGTGCCCCATCGTTGGTGTCAGTGGGGGGAGGAATAGTGCCCCATCGTTGGTGTCAGTGGGGGGAGGAATAGTGCCCCATCGTTGGTGTCAGTGGGGGGAGGAATAGTGCCCCATCGTTGGTGTCAGTGGGGGGAGGAATAGTGCCCCATCATTGGTAATAGTGACACCAATGATGGGGCACTATTCCTCCCACTGACACCAACGATGGGGCACTATTCCTCCCACTGACACCAATGATGGGGCACTATTCCTCCCACTGACACCAATGATTGGGCACTATTCCTCCCACTGACACCAATGATACTTACCTTGCTGACCCCTGCTCCAGCCTGGGCTCGCTCCCTCCCTCTCCCATGGTACAAACACTTACCGGTCAGATGTCTTCCTTCTCCGGCCGCTTTCCTCCTCTTCACTCGCTCGTGCTTCGCGGTGCCGCTCGGCTCCTCCTTCCCAAGCTCCACCTCCTCGCCGGTGATTGGCCGCCTGTGTGCCTCTCTTGAGCTACAGTTCCGGCGGCCAATCACCGACGAGGAAGGATTGATCCCGGGGGTGTGTCCAGATGACAGGGACGGCATGTCATCCCGCCCACACCTGCAGACGGATCAAGGAGCGGTGTCTCGGTTCCTAAGGCCATCGGAAATATGTGTTTTCCGATGGTCTTAGGCGACCCCTGGGAAAGTGTCGTTCGACCCCCAAAGGGGTCGCGACCCCCAGGTTGAGAACCGCTGCTCTAACACAACAGGGGGAAGAAAAAAAAAAAATAGTACAGAACATATCCCTTTTGCATATAAAGCGCATGTCACCTATCCAAGGAGCAGGGCCCTCCTATCCCTCTTGTATTGAACTGTATTGTCGCCCTTTATATTGTAAAGTGCTGAGCAAACAGTTGGCACTATATAAATCCTGTATCATAATATTACATGGATTGTAATTCCAAAGGAGTAAAGTTTAAGAATAGACTGTTGCGTTTCACCTACATACATGGCTTCTTCAGGACAGTGTCTTCTGCATAAGGGAGAGCAGTACTAATAGGAAAGAAGCAGCCGGCAATACCTAGGCTGGACGACGGATATGAGACTCAAGTGCAGAAAACAGGAAACAAACCAAGGAGCTTGGTAATATACAGCTCAGTCAATAATCAGACTGTGCCCACATAGCTAGAATAGCGAAGGTTCCGAATGTAGAAGCTAGTGGCAATTTGAGACAAAGATTGAGCCAAAAGGGCATTGGCAAGCTGGTGTGGCTGGACAACAGTAGGGACATGGTCTAGTGCAGCTTCTCAACCAGGGTGCCTTGAAGTTTCTTCAGGGGTGTCTTCGCAAAATGTCAAAAAAAATTGGCCAACGTTCGTATAGAAGCCAGCAGCTGGAACAAGCCTGCCTTTTAGCTACACAAAGAAACTTCAGAATACGTCATTAAAAATAGACAGGTTTTTACATATTTATTTTTTATTTGACTTTAATACAAATTTATTTTCAGCACATTCAGCAAATAGGCTGCTTTCATACTGAGCAGTTTTTTTTGGAGCACTTTTGCAAAAAAAAAAAAAAAAAAAAAAAGCCACACGTGTTTTTGCTGAATTTTCACACATTTTGCTTTTATTTTTAATCTGCCCAGCCCCAAGTTGGCCAAAAAACCCCACATTTAAAAATTGTGACTTGGTGAGGAAACAGGGCTGAAATGCATTGGGGGGGAAACACACACACACACAGCAAAAATGCATGTTACATTTTATATGCCCAGCAACAAATTGGCCAAAAAGACTCAATGCATCAAAAACACAGATGCAAACTGCATTGTGTGAACCAGGCCTGATATACATTGAAAGAAAACCCATCAAAAAATTCATGTTTTGGGCAAATTCTGCAAGGCCCCTCGAGGAACAAAGAAGGCACCCTGGTTGAAAGACTGCTCCATACAGTTTGTACAGTTTCCTCTTTACATAATTGGCTAGCCAAAACACCACATCCTTTGGACAGATGCTCCCAAAAGAGACAATTACTTCTGAAGAGATGCAGACCCTGCAACTTCTCATTTGAACACTGCAAGTCCATCAGCTGATGTGTCACCAACATTCAGATTCACCCTGCCCATCAATGATCAACTGACTTGATGTTTGTAGTGAACATTTACCTAGGCTTTTTAAGTTTGGAAGGTACATTTTGACTGTTGGGCATCTTTCCAATACCAGCTGTTCCCAAACCCTTCCAGCAGAATTGTCAACTGACAGCTGCATTAGTAACCTCAAATAAATGGTGTCATCTTATTGGCAGCAGGCTCTGGGGGCTTTAGCAAACTGCTGGATTGAACATTGCAAGCTGGGGTAGCCTTGTCAGCCACTTCAACAACTGCAGCCAATTACTGTATACTGCCAGTGTCTCCATTGTGTGGATTGTCACAGCATTACATATCCCAAGTATAGATGACCTGCTGCCTAACCTCACCTGAATTTAGTTTTTGCTCCCAGTTTAGAGCTCCCTACTTTACCTTGCCCATCAGGGCAGCAGTTGTCTGCCTGCTACAAAAGACAATCTTTTGCCCTGCCCCTCTGACATTTGTTATGAGAGTGAAGCATTGGATAGTAATATTTAAGGCATTGCTGGGAAAGGAATCAAGTCTGGAAGTTTACACATTGATACCAAGGGAGAAGCATCACTAGATACAGGACCTCAGCAGGCATAGGAGACACGGCCCATAGGGCAGCCATACCTGTATGAAGGCAAGGTGGAGCAGACACCTGGAAGAGCAAGTCCCCCCACCCCAGGAAAGGTTCCAACAACATGAAGCCTGTCCATCAACCTATAGGTGATAAAAGGTTTTTTTACCCCGTTCAAGCTACATTTCATACTTGCCTGATCTGTGCAAGGGTTTTTGCAGAGCAACTCCAGTCTGCCTCTTGGGTCCTCCACCTGCACTGCTGGCTGCTCCTTGCCGAATACCCCACAGCAAGCCACTTGCCAAGGGGGCACTAGTCCTTACTTGCTACTGAGCCAGCCCTGTGTCCACAAGAGCATGCTTAGCCCCACCCCTCCTTACTGGCTGACTGACAGGAGCCATTGGCTCTTGCTGCTTTATCTAAGCCAATGAAGAGTAAGAGCTGAGGCTCTCATACACAGATCGATAGATACCAGCTTAGGCAAGAATAGGGGGGGGTAGCTGGAGCTGCATGTAGGGGTCTGCATAGAATGCATGAAGGCAAGAAAACCCTGCCTTTACAACCACTTGAAGGATTTTATACATTAGTTGATCTGGAATGAATATTGCTCTCAAGTGCTGTCCTGGAAGTCAATTTTGGGAAATCTGATGCCACACTCCCTTCTGAGGAATTCAGGAAAGATACCTATAACCAAGGAGTAGCAATTTTCTCCAGAAGCCAACTTCCCGGCAGGAGACACCACACCCCTGAAATCTGGATTCCAATTTGGACACCGGAAACCAGTTGGTCAGAATTAGAAAACTAGTCACAGCCGAGCTCTACCAGCATCGAAGCTCATGCTTTCTGCTGATTGAATTAGGGGCAACTCAGTTACAGGGACAGTCCACAAGTCAAATCTGACACTGGAAAAATGTTAATTCTCATCTAGAAAAAAGCAGCCAACTCTTAGGGGTCTATTAAAAATGAGGGTCTCAATTTTGAAGTCAACTGACTTGACACAACGGGTGATTTAACAGGATCTTTAATATCCTTGCTGTAGCACATTAGCCACCAACTTAAAAAAAAACTACACACTTCTCAAATTTTTTTTTTTATTTTAAAAGACTTTTATTAAAGTGCCACAGTTTGACTTTAAAATACATTAAAAAAAGTTACATAAAAAAAAAAAAACTGCCAACAAGCAGTTCCCCTGCAGAGTACACAGCACCCTTTAAAATACCCCAAGCTGTACAAGTTTTTGTACCCATGAGTGTTTCATGCTCCTACTGTAAACTAGCATGTGCCAAAACACAGACACTATAGTAGATCTGTCAGAAGGGATTTGAAGCCACATCTGATGAGATAATGCCGGTAGCTTATTAGTTCCTTACTGTAACAAGTTTCCATTCACTTTACAGTTTCCAACCTGCATGCTGAAAGTATCCCAAGTTACAGCTGTCAAGATTTAGCAGTTCATTTAGAAGTCAGCGTCTAGAGTGAATGCGTGGTCTGATGCCTTTGACATAACCCCCATCTTCTGATATTCACCAACTTTCTTCTCAAAGAAATTTGTTTTCCCTTCCAGAGAAATGTTCTCCATAAAGTCGAAAGGATTTTCTACCCTGAAAAGCTAGAAACAAAAAAAGGGAAGTCAGTAGGTCCCTTAGGCAGGACAATAAAACTACCCATCACAGCCAGGACCCCCTGTGAATGAAGAAGTCTGGTAAAACAAAGAAATGCACATGGTTTTGCGTCAAAAAGATATGACAGGGATGTTTCATTTTATATCGCCTGACAAGTAGTTCCGGGCACCGGGCAGGTAGTCATTTCAGTTTAACTGGGCAAGCACCTGTCAGGCAGAAGCATTCAGGCAGCAGCACTGCTGCCCAAATTGCTTCCACAGCGGAATAAATACGGTGTTATGCTATGGAAGTTTCCCTTTGATGTTTTTATGGCAGTGGAGTACTGTGGATGTTCTGGAGAAGTTTTCACAAGCGACTGATCTAGAGGTGTTTACACATATTGGGCAGAACAGTGGCTAAATGGTTAGCACGTCTGCCTGGCATTACTAGGGTCGTTTGTTTGAATCCCAGCCACGGCACCACCTGCCTGGAGTTTGCATGTTCTCCCTGTGCGGGTTCCTCCGGGTACTCCCGTTTCCTCCCACACTCCAAAAACATGCTGGTAGGTCAATTGGCTCCTGTCTAAATTGGCCCAGTATGTGTATGTATGAATGTAGGTTAGGGACCTTAGATTGTACACCCCTTGAGGGTTCGGGACTGATGTGAACGTACAATGTGTAAAGCACTGCGTAAATTGACAGCACTATATAGGTACCTGAAAAAAAAAATATTGAGTCAGTTACCAGTGTATAGAGCTGTCAAGATCACACAGACGGCCAACTTACTGCAGGGGAGTGCTGCAACATCTAATGCAATATTTGACTTACCATTCAAGGTGGTCAATTATTTTTGGCAAGTGGGGCTCTGGAGAGGGAGCACTTCGCAGAGGATTGCTACAGTTAAGAAGATTAACTATTGTATCACCTAGTATTGACAGTGGATGCAGATTTTTTTTTCCCACATTGGAACTTTTATGTTTGCATATTGATTGGGACTCAAAACACATTGTCTTTTGCATAGAATTTCACGGTATTGTATATTTGCGATTAATTTTATAGCACAATTGTTGTTTGAGCATGTTGAATATATATAGGTTTATTATTTAGTCAAAGGGTAGGAGGGATACATTTGTCAGTCCATTGCAGTATATGCACATTTGTGGGGACCCTATATGTAGTAGGGTAGTTTCTTCATTTAATTAATTTTCCAGTAGAGGCAGCACAGCAATTTACGTATGTTTGCACATACACATCTGTCCACCATTACACATTTGTGGTTTTGCTAGCAGCAGCCAGTTTAGTCCTCTGCACAGGTTACACTTACTCCCCTTCCATGACGAGCAGCCAATCTGCTCATTACACTGCAAGGTTGCCCGCCCCCCCCCCCTCCCCCAGTACCTGGGTGAGGTACTGGAGACAGGCAGGGAGGGGAGGAGGAGATAAACAGCTCAATGTTAAAAATATTAACCATTCAAGTTGCTTTAAAGACCCTTTTGCTTTTAAAAGCCCCAGATTTAAAGAAGGTTTTGGTTAAAATTTCTTTTGTTTTTTACTGGACAAGTAGATTGTCATGAGGAACCAGAAGATTGGGGCACCGATTTAGACCCTGGACAAGTAGTTTTTTCAAAAATTTCCACACCCTTGTAGGAGCCTCAAACCACACTAAAAGTGCAACTGCATGTGCATTTTTTCTATTCAAAGCAGAGGTAAATCTGGTGCTTTTACTGCACAAAACATGCAGCAGGTATGACTTTGAAAACTTGCAGAGGATCCTCAAGTGACCAGTGTTAAAGAGTTCTATAGGATTTGATGGTCATCCATTTTTTCACACAAAAATGGAAGGGGGGGGAAAAAAAAAAAAAAAAAAAAAAAAAAAAAAAAAACGGTGTGAAAGCAGCATACAGAGTTCAGGGGGTGAGCTGCGTGCAGTGTAGGGTTGAGGGGGTTTGCCATCCAGAGTGAAGGCTAGAGATCTTACGGATTGTCCACATCTCACCTCCATCCCTCCTGAGCTCTGACCTCTGCACCAGTCTCCCCCCACCTCTTAACATTCGCATTCACAGCCCTCCTTCCTTGAAAGCTTTAGCATCTCGCCTTCTCAGTACTTCCCAGCATTGTAGGCAGCTCTATGTCTCACTTGCAGGAAGATCATTGGTTCCCTTCACTTCCTGTTCCAGTCAGAGGAAGTCTCTCCAAGTAAGGTAATCTCCAGGGTGAAACCAGAACTTGCATCCAATAAGACTTCCCTTTTACTGTGCTGAGGTCAACCAAACTTTGATTTCAACCTCTTTCAAGGACAAAATAAGTAAATCTCCTTTATGAAGGCAAATCCAGCAAACCAATAAAAAAAAAAAAAAAAAAAAAAAAAAAAAAAAAACACACAAACAAACAAAAACACAAACAAACAAAAAAACACAAACAAACAAAAACACAAACAAACAAAAACACAAACAAACAAAAACACAAACAAACAAAAACACAAACAAACAAAAACACAAACAAACAAAAACACAAACAAACAAAAACACAAACAAACAAAAACACAAACAAACAAAAACACAAACAAACAAAAAAACACAAACAAAAACACAAACAAACAAAAACACAAACACAAAAAAAACAAAAAAAAAAAAAAAAAAAAAAAAAAGTTCCCTGTTCTGGGCTGCAAAAGGCCTACAGAAATCTCTGGTGCCAAGTTTGGTTCAAAGCAAATCATGTACGTTACTATTCTTGTAACCATCATGCAATGCGAGTCATGTAGAATGTTAGATGTATTTGAAGTTGCAGATAGCATTTTTTTTTTTCTATTACATAGTTACCTTGTTAAAGCCCAGCTCCAACAAGAGACGATCTGCCACAAACTCAATATATTGCTTCATCAGGTCACCATTCATGCCTATCAGCTTCACAGGCAGTGCATCAGTCAAGAATTCCTAGAGGATGAAAGCAATGTTTATAGTCCCAGGTTAAAACTTCCTAATATATGAGGAATAAAATTAATTTCTCAAGTCTAGTTTTAAAGAGGTGCACCAATGTTTTATTTAGCATATGGATGGCCCTGTAGTCATCACCCAATGACTAATAGGAGGGGCAAAGAATACAGTATCAAGCTATTATGGCTCCTGCAAACTTGTATCCCAGGGAGGGCATGGTTTGACCACCCACTAAAAATGGCATGTAGCTGCCCATGGCTGTACATATGTTGCAGTGCTTTGTGGCAAGCAAAAATAAAAGCTAATGGCCACTATTCAGTGCTCCTACTCCTTGACCTCTCTGCGGCCTTCGACACAGTTGACCACCCCCTCCTCAAAATACTACACTCCCTCGGCCTCAGATTCTGCTCTCTCCTGGCTCTCATCCTACCTGTCACAACGCTCTTTCAGCGTTACCTATAATGCTACCACCTCCCCCTCACTCCCCCTCTCTGTTGGGGTCCCTCAAGGCTCCGTCCTCAGGCCCCTTCTCTTCTCCATCTACACCTCCTCCCTTGGCCAACTCATACACTCTCACGGCTTCAACTACCACCTCTATGCCAACGACACACAAATCTCTCTCAACCCCCCACCTCACCCCCTCGGTCTCTGCCCGAATCACACACCTGAGCAACATATCAGATTGGATGTCGCTCCACTTCCTTAAACTGAATCTCTCCAAAACCGAGTTTCTTGTCTTCCCCCCAGCCCGGACACCACCCCCCATTGACTTCATCACATCCAACAACGCCAATATCAAACCCGCCCTGCAGGCCAGAGTACTTTGTGTCATTCTGGACTCCAACCTATCCTTCCAGCCCCAAGTCCAATCTTTAACAAACTCGTGCAGACTCCACCTCCGCAACATCGCCAAAATCCGCACGTTCCTAACCCCAGAAACCACTAAACAGCTCATCAACTCCCTCATCATATCACGACTTGACTACTGCAACTCCCTCCTCACTGGCCTGCCTCGCCGCTGGCTATCCCCGCTTCAGTCCATCATGAATATGGCTGCCAGACTCATTCACCTTTCCAACCGCTCAGTTTATGTCAACCCCCTCTGCCAATCCCTCCACTGGCTTCCGATTGCGCAACGGATCAAATTCAAAATCCTAACACTGACGTACAAAGCTGTCCACCATACTGCCCCGAACTACATCACTGACCTAATATCAAAGTACCGCCCAGCACGCACACTCCGCTCCTCACAAGACCTCTCTAGTTCCCTGGTCTCCTCCTCCCATGCCCGCCTCCAGGACTTCTCCAGGGTGTCACCCATCCTCTGGAACTTCCCCAACCCATCAGATTATCACCTACTCTCCTCTCCTTTAGGTGCACCCTGAAAACCCATCTCTTCAGGGAAGCCTACCCCCTGCTAACTTGACCGACCTCCTCCACTCTTCCTACCACTCCATCCCCCACAGCTATCTCCTCCTGTACCACTATCCCGTCCCTTCTAGATTGTAAGCTCAAAAGAGCAGGGCCCTCGAACCCCTCATGTTTTGCATTGTATTGGTATTCTTCTGTCACCCTTTTTAATGTACAGCGCTGAGTGAACTATCGGCGCTTTATAAATACTGTAAAATAAAAAAAATGTTGCATTCTGAGGGTGGTACTTCTGCCAAAAGCAGTTTGTTCAAGCCAATGGGCCACACTGCAACTGTGTGCAATGGGTTGGCATTTGTCAGAGTTAACCAGGGAGCTAGTAGTCAACCTATTGCCTCCTCACCACCCTATCAAATGTCTCTGAAAAGTGATACACTGCAGACCACTTTTCAGAGGGGCAGACAAGAGCAAGTCCTTACAGAACAAAAGGGTTGCCCATCCCTGTATGGAACGTGTGGTGTGGAGTGACCCCTCCCAACAGAACTGCATTTTAGCAGTTGTCCATTACCTCACATACCTGTTCAATTCTGACAGCATCAGTTATCAGTTCCCGGACACGATCTTCTGATGGCTTATGGACAAGGTGTTTGAACATAAGACAAGCAAAGTCTGTGTGCAAACCCTGTAAGAAACCCAGACAGGTCAATTAGCAAGTGCGAAAACCCACTATACAAAAGGGTTAGCTTTTAAAGGAAGGAGGTGGGATGGTCTTACCTCATCTCTGCTGATTAGTTCATTTGAGAATGTGAGACCAGGCATCAACCCACGTTTCTTCAGCCAGAAGATGGATGCAAAGGACCCAGAGAAAAAGATTCCCTCCACAGCAGCAAATGCAACCACACGCTCACCTACACAGTAGAAAAGATATGCCAGTTAGCACCTACCATGCAGAAGCAAGCTTTTTTTTTTTGGGGGGGGGGGGCGGGAGAACAGGACAGAATATGTAGTGATCTAGCAACCAGTAGAAGAATCAAAAACACAACAGCAACTTAGCTCTTAATTGATAGAGGCTCCGGTTTATAAAAGATAGACAGGTTTACACTTACCAGCTCTGTGCAATGACATTGAGACACTTACCCCCAATTTTTACCTTTATGCAAGGAATGTATAAAAAACCGTTTTAGGCTTTAGAGACACTTTCAGAGCAAAACAAACTCTAGTGCAGATTGTTGCAACAAAGTTGCTCAACCCCTTTACAGGCACCAGACACAGCAGCAAAGAGGGTCACCCACCATACAAGAATTGCTGGATGGCCATTTAGGGCCCTTTCAAACTACTACACAAAAAAAAAAAAAAAAAAAAAAACACCACATGCATTTCTGGTTGCCCAATATCCAGCATGCACCTGTGAAAATTAAACATGCGACTCACAGCACACCAAAGTGCAACCAAGGTGCATTTTCCTTTGATTTCACATTTATTTTGATGCGCTTTTTAAACAGGTAGTGATAAACACACCAAAACAGTGCATCTGCAGCACACACTGGTGCAAAGTCACATAGTATTTAAAGAGAAAATTTTTTCCTTGCACTTTAGCAGGGTATAAAGCACAGCCCTTATGTACAAAGTGTGCCCACAGCACAATGACCAAACTGTCTAACAGCTCTTTGTCCAGGGCTACAGATCAGTAGCTGGTGGGACTGGTGTCAAATTTGAAAATCACCAAAATCATTCCTGCCTCAAATACTAATGCCAGACAGATTTTGATACCACAAATTGAAGGGGTGGGGGTTTATCAGTGTTCACTAGGACAGGAAGGTGTATAGAGCAAAAAAAATTAGTCAGGGTGTCCCAACCCTTCACTATTGTACCAAGCTTCCCCTCCCATCCATGCCCCTATAGTACCAAGACCATCCCCGTACAATATTTCCCAAAACACTACACTGAATCAACTGCCAGGTAACAGCAGTGTCAGTTGGAAATACCTTTAGAGCCAACATGATCAAGCTTTTAGTGCTTACCATAGGTTGCATTTTTGTCACTAATCCAGCGGAGTGCCCAGTCTGCCTTCTTTTTCACACAAGGCAGCGTTTCAATTGCATTGAACAGGAACTCCCTGAAGTTTAGGGGAATAAATAAAAAGTCTTAGAACAGGCTTGCAGACTTTATAGAGTTGAATACATGGGTCAGCATCCCTGCTAGCACAAGTCTTACCTCTCTTTGGGATCTTTAATATAAGTGTCAATGAGAAGACTGTACATCTCTGAATGAATGTTTTCCATTGCAATTTGGAAGCCATAGAAACAGCGTGCTTCTGTGACTTGTACTTCCTGACTGAACCGCTCAACCTGTTGGAACATAAATTAGGAAGGTCAGGGCTCGAGTCTTTCCAGTAAATTTCAGTTACAACTTGTTGGCCATTTCTAATTACAGTACATTGGAAGAATACAAAACCTTGATCAACAGTTAAAAAAAAAAAGTTATTAGTTTTACCCATGTAAAATATGTGCACTAACCAAGTTCTCGTTTACAATTCCATCACTGGCAGCAAAGAAAGCCAACACATGCGAAATAAACCACCTCTCCTCTTCTTTCAGTGATTCCCAGTGTAGGAGGTCTTTTGAGAGGTCAACCTATAATGGGGGGACAAAACAAAACCAAAACATTTAAAAGCCTGCAAAAGAGTTAAGCAAGCATACATCCTGCTACAACAAACTTTTTCCATCTCATCTAAGGGCCCTTTCACATTGCTCCACCATAAAAACGCATGTTTTTGCCATGTTTTATAGACTTGACCCCAATCATACACCTGTGAGACTTGTACATGTAACTCGAAATGCTCCAAAAATGCACTGCAGGTGCATTTGGGGAGTTTTCCCATTCATTTCAATGTGGAGGCGCATTTTTTGTGATTTCTAATCCGAAATGCAACCATGTAAGAATTTTAAAAGTGCACCGCACTGGTGTGAAGAGTTCCACTGGATTTAAAGTTATAATTTTTATGCATTTTCTTCTTCTATGATCAGTGTGAATGGGCCCGCAAGAGGAAGCCAAATTAATTGGGAAAGCTAACCAATAACTAAACAGTGTCTGCAAAGACAACAACAGGTAGCTTCCCAAAACCAGCCATTCTGAGCATAAATTGAAGATCCATGCATAGTCCATGTTTTCATTGTCTAGAGCTTTCCACTAGCAGCCAACTATAATGTTTTGTACATTGTGATATTTCAAGCGCAGATACAAAAGGGGATGTGGTATCTCAGCTGCAGAGTTCACTTACCTCTTCTGCCGTCCAGAATGAGGCTTCTGCCTTCTTGTACATCTGCCAGATATCATGATACTGGATGGGGAAGATGACAAAGCGGTGGGGGTTATCTCTCAGAAGGGGTTCATCTTGAATGGTTGGGTTCTTTTGTTCATTAGGCTTCCCCTAAAAAGAAAGTTAGGTCAGCATAACTCAAGAGAAATTCAAAAACATGTATACCTTCCACCTGAATGTAAACGTGTCACTTAAGCAAAAGGGGAAGCCATCATTAGCATGGCATCTCATTAAGCCTTCCAAGGGGCTCACAGGAGGAATCCACCGACAATCATGTGATTTCTTTAACCACTAGCCTACTGGGCACTTATGCCCCCTTCCTGCCCAGGCCAATTATCAGCTTTCAGTTCTGTCACTTTGAATGACAATTGCGCGGTCATTGAACACTGTACCCATATGAAATTTTTTATCATTTTTTTTGTGACAGATAGAGCTTTATTTTGGTGTTATTTAATCACCTCTGGGTTTTTTTTTTTTTTGCTAAACAAACCAAAAATTTTTGGGAAAAAAAAGTTTAGTTTTTGTTTTAAAATTTTGTAAATAAGTGATTTTTCTCCTTCACGGATATGAACCGAGGCTGCAGTGATTGGCACTGATGAGCATTGACAGGCATCACTGATGGGCACTGAAAGGCAGCACTAACTGGCAGCTCAGATGGCCACTGATATGTTGCATTGATGTGGCACTGACAGCTGGCATTGATGGGCACTGACAGGTAACACTGCTGGGGCTACACTGATCATCAGTGCCCATGTCCCCTCTGAGGAATGCCGATTACCGGCTCTCCTCTCGAGCTGTCAGCATGACAGCTCGCGAGGAGAGAAATGCAGATAACCGGCACTTCCCTATTTACATGCGATCAGCTGTGCTTGGACATAGCTGATCACATGACCAAGCCGAAATCTTTGGCTGTTGATCAGTGATCCACTGTGTCCGAGGGACACAGCGCACCGCTGATCGCCGCACGCTCCTGGAGCCACGCATGCGCGGTTAGAATGGGAGGACGTCATATGATGTCCTCCCAGAACCGCCTTGCGCCCGTCATTGCCTTATATGGCAGACGGGAGGCGGTTAATGTGGAGTTTCACTCACCTGTCAAAAAATAAAAAAGTCAACAGCTACAAAACTATAGCTGCTGATTTTTCAAAAACAGCCACTTGCCTTTCCCTTCGCTCCCGTGGTGTTTCCCCTGCAGCCCGTTTCACCGTCCATCCTGGATTCCAGGAGGCCGGCATCTTCAGTGCGGGCACCTGGCTGTGATAGCTTGTGGCTTCACAGCCGGGTACCCACTGCACATGCACGAGTAGCACTGCGCTTCATGAATGGTCCTGTAGTCTTCTGGGACCTGACACCTGGGAGGACACCTTCTGTTTCCGATCGCCTAGGCCAGTGATGGCGAACCCGTGGCACGCGTGCCACAGCCGGCACGCCGAGCCTTATCTGTGGGCACGCCAGGAGAATCCAGCGGCGCGCTGTCTTCCCGGCTGTAGTGTGCGTGACAGCCGGGTCCCAAGTGCGCATGCACAAGAAGCAGTGCTCTTTGTGAATGGTAAGGCGGTACCTGGGACACATGACAGATCCCAGAAGCCGCCGGACCAATCACAAAGCGCAGCGCTTCTCGCGCATGCGCACTGGGCATCCTGCTGTCCGCCCACACTACAGAAGCCGGGAAGACAACGCGCGGCTGGATAAAGGAACAGGTAAGATAAAAAAAAAACTCTGCGGAAGCAAGAGCGGGTACCTGTCAAATTCAGGTACCCGCTCCCCCTCCCTCCCCAAAGGTCAGCAGTCATCCCCGGTACTGTCTCCGCAGTCTCTGGTCATCCCCGGTACTGTCTCCGCAGTCTCTGGTCATCCCCGGTACTGTCTCCGCAGTCTCTGGTCATCCCCGGTACTGTCTCCGCAGTCTCTGGTCATCCCCGGTACTGTCTCCGCAGTCTCTGGTCATCCCCTGTACTGTCTCCGCAGTCTCTGGTCATCCCCTGTACTGTCTCCGCAGTCTCTGGTCATCCCCCGGTACTGTCTCCGCAGTCTCTGGTCATCCCCTGTACTGTCTCCGCAGTCTCTGGTCATCCCCTGTACTGTCTCCGCAGTCTCTGGTCATCCCTGTACTGTTAATTAGTTTGCACTACTGTACGAGTTGTTTTTTCTAAACCAAAAGCTCGATATTCAGGTTTCATTGCAGTGTTGGCACTTTGAAAGAAATAAGTTGGTTTTGGGTTGCAGTTTGGGCACTCGGGCTCAAAAAGGTTCGCCATCACTGGCCTAGGCGATCAGACTGGAAATGGGAGCGTGTACCTGTCAAATTTGGGTGCCCGCTCCCTATTCTCCCCCAAAAGTGCCAATCCTTAATGGGCAGCGGGGAGCAGTCCTTATACACATTAACCCTTTTGTCCCATTCCCACAAGTACAAATTACGCTCTAAATAGCGCATGCCCCCACTGGCATTGCAGTTTTTTTTAGGTGTAATGAAATATCACAAATTGGATTTCATTTCAATTCTGCATCACAGCATGTAAGATTGTAGCATGATAATGCAACGCTTTACAGTGCATACCAACACAGCACATGTTGAATCAAACAATGACACAAGGAAAGTTGCCTTGTATGTTGAGTAATGTCTCCCAATCAGGTTGGGATGAGTGAGCCATTATGCAAGATACAAATGGAACACAATGATGCAACTTCCTCCAGACCCACACTGCAGACAATCAGCCACCTTACTAGTCACAGCACAGACCCACCTTTACAGCTCATGTGGGGGAAGGAGAAGCAGCCGGATTGCTAGCAGTGCAGAGATCAATGCACATGGCAGCAGCTTAGGCAATGCAGACACTGCCTTGCAGCTTCTACAGATTAGACATCACGAGCAGACTGACAACTCATGGGGCCCCCGGGCAATAGGGGATCATGGGGCCCCCCCCCCCCCCGTGTCCTCACCCACACCCAAAAAAGCCAATGAAAAGGTACCAAGGGCATCTCATAGTGCCCCCCACTGACCCCGGGCCCTCGGGCAGTACCCGAGTGCTCAAATGGTCAGTCCGTCCCTGATCACGAGTAACAACTTACTGGTTCATTCTCCGCATCCTTGAAAATCTTGCGGGCGGTCTTGCTGGCTAGGACCCGGGTGTTGCTCAGAGAAGGTGGCTGCAAATACATGAAATCACAATTTCATTACAATGGACAAACAAATGCTGGAGCAGTTCACCGATAACAGCAGAAATCAGAGGTATGTTACCCTGACAGGATCACAGAAGGCTCATTATCCTGCACCCATAGGGGGCCCCCCCCCCCCCAACCCCAGAAGGCTCCCCCGGCACCCATAGGGGCCCCCGCGCCCCCCCCAACCCCAGAAAGCTCAGCCCCGGCACCCATAGGGGCCCCCACCCCCTAACCCCAGAAGGCTCAGCCCCGGCACCCATAGGGGCCCTCACAGACCCTTCCTCTCTCCCCCCCCCCCCCCCAAACCCAGAGGGTTAGTCTCCACACCAAGGAATCCCTATATGGGCTCATTTATACTGAAGAGCAATCCAGATCACTTTTCAGAGAGCAGTAGACAGGCAGCTATACATTGTATCACCGCCTGCTTTTACCCCAATACTGGGCAACACCATGACCACACTTGTTGGCTGCAGTGTAGCCCCATTCACTTGGGTGTGACCGGGGGGGGGGGGGCAAATTTCTGCTGCACCATGTGTGCATCCCCAACCAAGGTAGCAAAAACATGGCTCAACCACCCTTCTAATCACAAGCAGGCCCACAGGCCCCACACCCAGTGGTCCCCATTCCACCCAACATTGATCTCTGTAGGACTGTGCCCACTACAGGACAGGTCCGTCCATATTCTCAGCATACATCCCCCCTCATAATCGCCCTGAGCCCCCTTCCCTCCTATATACATCGGGTGTACAATACACACAGATTTCCTCCACACACAACTGAAGACCCGCCAAAGCCCCCCTCATATCGCCCCCTCCCAGGGGTACGGGCTGCACACCCACCGTGTTCTCCTTGTCAGTCAGGCTCAGGCCCTTCATGGGGGACATGTTCTCATTCACAGCACCGAAGGGTTTGCGGGAGGACAGCATGGTGAGCGGGAAGCGCGGAGCCTGTGTACGGAGCGGAGGTGTCGGTGTACTGAGCAGAGGACGAGACAAGCTCACACAGTTCTCCGGACTCCTTATTTATCGGCAGTTTGCATTTGGCGCCCGGTCCGCAGAGCCAATGAGGAGCCAGCAGTGAAGACGATTGGTCAAAGTCATGGCCTCAAATGGAGGGAATTCTAATGCGACCAATCAGATGCTGAGGCGGGGGGAGGCAGCTGATGCAAACCCCAATCCGAAAAGCGCGCTCTTTCTGCACAATAGCCCGGATGTACAAGTACCTCACAGAGCACATACAAGTGACATTACCTGTACCTCATATATGGGTCATACATGTACAGCCTAAGCGGGACCGTATAGAGTCCATGGGAATCCCCCTGTGTGCCCTCCATGGCGGGGATCCCTCCCCCGGGATCAGAGCCGCCGCCTCCTCCCCCTCACGGAGGTTACACAACACCGGTGTTATCACACTCGGAAGCAATACTCTGCTGAGGCAGCCGGTCAGCGTTCGCTATGAAAGGAGGACATTCCCCGAGATATAGGTGACTGGAATACGGGGCAAGGCGGCTTCGCCGATCCCCTCAGATCACGTTCTAGCGGGAAATGCCGTGATCTAGCAGGGCCACGAAACTCTCCCATATACTTCCCGCCACGTCATACTCTGAGGTGACAGATTCCAGTCACACAATGCGGAGGACCGGGGATCTCCTCCCTTTATACTGAGCACAACTCATCAGGTGTGGCCAATTCATGTCACATAGAACGGCGGGTTAAGGACACGGAATACATGTCGCTCGCCATTGTGCTACTACGATACTGAGGGTATCATTTTATAAATGGAGGAACTCCGGCTCGGCCGGTCTCCCGCCAGAACAGGTGACTTGGCATGTCAGCTTTTCGCGCGACCCAGTCATCAGACGGAATTTGGCGCCATTGCTACTCTTTAAAAGAACCCTCCAATCAGGCCACCGGTGGGTGTCACGTGTGTGCGACCACGCCTCTCTTTGTACGGGGCGGAAGTAAACATCTGGGTTTCCCGCGTAGTTTTGAACAACATAACCAGAGAGAAAATAATGAACGGAGAGAACGGTGATCGTAGTGATGGTGAGGGAGCGGAGACGGGCAGCCCGGTGTGTTTCCGGAATTCATGTTTATATTTTTCATTTCACAAATACGCCATAGTAGCTCACAAGAATCCAGCTTTACGTGTCCTTACTTCTGCTGTGCGGGATTCCTGAGACCTCTTGGGTTGTTCCTGAACATTAATATTCAATAATTATTAATCAAAGTACTTATCAGGGACTCATTAGGTGGGGGGTGGTAAAGCCAGGTGGTTGGGCTGTGTTTTTACTGCTCTCTCCAACCACCTGCCTGCCAACACTAACATACAGCAAAACCTAAAGCGGAATGTCACTCTCTCAATCAGCATGGACTATTTTGAATCCTTACGCTGCTAGCATTCGTAAATAGATAGGAAATTATATCATTTTCATTGGCTTTAAACAGTTTTTTTTTTTTTACATTATATGCTTCCTGGTTTCTGGTCTAGGCTAATGATGTCATACATCCCAGGATTCTTCAGCAGGGAAGGAAGGGTTTTCTCCGCTAAGCACACCCTTCTGGCTGCATGCGGATGTCAGTCACGGGGTCCCGGCCAGAGATTCCACGTTGATTGCCTGGCAAAGCTGACCAGGGAGAGAACTGTGTGTAAGCAACACAGATCTCTCTCCTGCCAGCGAGAACATGTTGCTGTGTATTTCTCTGCACAGAACAGAAATACACAGTAACATGTTTCCTTAGTAAAACCGCACACAGTTAACCCTTTGATCACCCCACATGTTAACCCCTTCCTGCCAACTGTCATTAGTACAGTTTCAGGGCTTCCAGGAAGTAAAAGCTACATGAATCATCTGCCCTTACAGGGCCAGGGATTATTTGTTTAGGTACCTATATAGCAGCGCTTTACATATATATTGTACATTCACATCAGTCCCTAACCCTCAAGGGGTGTATAATCTGAGGTCCCTAACTCACATTCATACATACACATACTAGGGCCAATTTAGACAGGAGCTAATTAACCTATTATGTCTTTGGAGTGTGGGAGGAAACGAGTACCCGGAGGAAACCCACGCAGGCACAGGGAGAACATGCAAACTCCAGGCAGGTGGTGCCGTGGTTGGGATTTGAACCAATGACCCTAGTACTGCCAGGCGGAAGTGCTAACCCTTTAGCCACTGGGATCCAACGCAATCCTCACCCAGGCCAGTTCTTCACTAGCTTTGGGTTCCAGGTGCCTGCATCTTAACTGTGGGCAGGCGGCTTTGCTGCTGGCTGTCCACTGCGCATGTGTGAGCCACATGGCACTTTGTGTATGCTCCCACAGCAGGGGCAGACTGACAACTCATGGGGCCCCCAGGCAATAGGGGATCGTGGGGCCCCTGTGTCGCCCACACCCAAACCACACCCAAGAAAGCCTTTTGAAAGGTACCAGGGACATTGCATGGGTCCCCCTACTGACCCTGGGCAGTGCCCGAGTTCCCCAATGGTCAGTCCGCCCCTGTCCCACAGTCTTCTGGGACCTATGATGTGTCCCAAAAGACTGCAGGGAAGGGAGTAGAATTACTTCTCAGATCGTCCAAGCCTAGTGGGAGCGGGTACCTGTAAAAGCAAAATGACATGCCAAATATGGTGGAGGGGACTTAAAGTGGAACTTCCCTCTTGGGTGAAGTTCTACTTTAACCGCTTGCCCGCCACCCTATAGTAGAATGACTGCAGCAGGGCTGTGTATATATGCATGATTTGCATTTCCAGGTAGGGGGCGCACACACCTCTCTACCTGTGCCGCCATTGGCGGCTACAGATGTCAATCATGGGTCCCACCTGGAGATTCCCGATGGCACCCGACGATCGCCTGGCAAAGATGACAGGGGAGAGACCTTGTGTAAACAAAGGTCTCTCTCCTGCCAGCAAGAACATGCTGCTGTGTATTTCTCAACAACTGTTTAGTAAAACAGCACACAGTAACCCTTTTATCACCCCACATGTTAACCCCTTCCTGCCCACTGTCATTAGTACAGTGTCCGTGCTTTTTATTAGCACCGATCACTGTATTCGTGTCGCTGGGGATGTCAGTGACAGTAAGTTCCCCCCCCCCATCAGTGTCAGAATGCCTGCCGCAGTCTCGCTATAAACAGCATGTCACGTTTAGCAGGCACTGCTTAATGCAGATCTGTGAGCCCACGCTGCTAACTGCAAGCAAGGCATATGATTGTGGGATGGTAGTACAATTATTAGATTAAATCAGGTGGCGAGGAAGTGACATATCACCTCCTTACCACTTTCCAAACATCTCTGAAAAGTGATCTGAGAGTGGATGGTGTTTCAGAGGAGTGGCAGTGCTTGCTGCACCTGTGAGCGAGTGCTAAGGACTGCTAAGGTCCAGACGAGCCGACGCAGTGTCGAGGCGCTGGCATTTCATGTTTTTCTGTTTTTTGTTTTTTTTTAAGTCAACATGAAATGTCAATGATCTATCAGCTAACATGCAGTGAGGCCAGTGATACACGCTGTGCCAGAAGAACTTCCTGCTCACAATTTTTTCAGCACACAGTAGAGAGAGAGAGCAATTTGCCTTGTGCAGTTGGACTGTGCTGGAATAGGCGCCCAACGCAGTCTCACCGCACCTGGTGTGAGACCTCTGAAGCATGAATGCCTGGCTAAAATATGCCGAATTATCATATACACAGGGTGTGCCTGGAATGATGTGATCACACCCTGTATAATATTTACCCAGCAGTTCTGTACACCTCCATGGGTGTGAGATTTGTCTGGAAGTTTCCCTGATCTTCAGAACAAAAATAATTTGCTCAAATATTTCTCCCTTTGTAGTGCTTATTCACACCACAATGTGTATTAAATGGCTTTGTGTGGATATGTCTTGAACATTTTAGGCAGCGCAAAGGTCAGTACAGCCTCACATACCTCCTACCATGGATTATAGCACAAAATATATAGACAAATCATGGCACTCCCTGCCATGCCTCCAGAAACATGGACCATCACAAGATATGTGCAAATAATATTGGTCTAACCCGTTTTTTTTTTTTTTTTTTTTTTTTTATCACCGCTTTATTTTGGCTTTTCAAAACCAACAAACAGTATAATTTAAAGTAGAATTCCAGGTATGGATATTTTATAGGTAGTTACATTGATCTAGCTTTGACCAATGTTACTATATATACTGTAAACCATACCTGGCCAATAAGACCACTACTCCAGTGATCTCCACGGGTCCCTTGCCATGTAGCTGCTTTGTGAAGATAGGTCAGCCGCTATTCAACAAATGCTTTGCAATTTTCACAAGGAATTCAAACTGAGTGTTGTATGATTGGATGAGGCGGAGAGGCAGCAGGGTTGTGACTTTACGCTTGCCATCCCATCCAATCAGAACACTTATTCTTTCATATTCACACATCAGAGCATCTGATAGCACCATCCGTTTTCAGTGCTGGCACTGCTTTCTGCTGTAAAGCTAGGTTCACACTAGCCAAAGCTCTGAAAAGTGAGTTGTGGTGGATTGCTTTTCAGAGCACGTCTAAGCAGCCTCTGTTCAGGAGGCAATCCTGCCACCTGTTTTTTTTTGTTTGTTTTTTTTTGCGTTAGGGCGCTGCATTACTGTAACTGACAATTGTGCAGTCATGCAACGCTGCACCCAAATGAAATGTACATCCTTTTTTTTCCTATGCTTTCTTTCAGTGGTATTTGATTGCCTGTGCATTTTTAAATTTTTTTCACTATAAAAAAAAAAACCTGACAATTTTGAGAAAAAAAATATTTTTGACTTTTTGCTATTAAACATGTCAAGTAAAAAAAAATTTAAAAATTAAATTTCGTCATAAATTTAGGCCAAAGTGTATTATGCTACATGTCTTTGCTAAAAAAAA